CGCAACAATACAGCAGAATCAGTTTTTCGAACTCATCGCCGAACTCCGTATTGTTGTTCCGAGGCGTTGTGAATGCGATGTCGAACATCATCACGTTATTGCCAGTGTTGCCAAAGCCATATGCGGATAAAGCGATTGAAAAGGTGTATGGGATATATAACAACTTGTTGACGGGGTCGTATGTGCCATATGGAGTCCTCATCTTCTATAACGACCCAGCACTGAACAATATGGTTGAGACTTCCGTCAAACTGGTTTGTATGAGGAACAATGACGAAATCCTGACTGATCCGAAACTCCGCTCAATCATATTTGTGATGTTAAACGGATTGTTCACGACGCTCCACAAATTTGTATTTAAACTGAGCAACGAGCCATTCCAAAAGTTTTTGTCACTGCTGATTGCAGGACTGAAAATGACAGACAACAACGTTGTTCGTACGTGCATTACGATTATTACTATTATATTTGAGTTGGTCGATAATATCCAAGCGCGAGAAACAGAAGACATGAACGACTACCAACGAAAGATGGAAGATTTCAGCGAAACGTTTAAGATGATGACTAAGGCATCACTCGACGCATATCTCTTTTCATCAATTCAAGGAAGAGCGATTGGATGTTTGGCATCGCTCATGAAGCGCTACCGAGTTTGTTCTTCTTTACTGTATAGCACCGACAACACTCACTAATAGTATTTTGACGAATACGCTCAACAATACTTGATTGCGCAAAAGAATGAAGTGCAGACGCAACTTATTATTAAATCATTCCAAACGATAAAGAACGCTGTTGAGAACCCACAATTCCCAGACATCTTGTCGAAAACACTGAACGAAATGAGAGGAAATATTGATTCTGACTAAGTAAGAGAGGGCCATTTAATACCATTTTGATTAATTTTTGTTGTTAGGGCAATCAAAACCAAATGGAATCACAAAAATTGAATAAATCGGGGGTCTCACTGGAAGGAATCTTTCAGTGACGAGATGTGACCTTCACGTTCTCGGATCTCCTTTTCAAGTTCACCAACACGTTTTTCTCGTAAAAAGTTGACCGCGTAATCGACAATATTGCCTTCGCCAGCAGCTGTATGATACTTCAACTCAAACTCGTTGTATTGCGAGGAGCACCCATACTTGTTGTATTTTTCATTCATTGTCATCCCCGTCTCACTCATTGTTGTTTTCACAAGTTGCGACACACAATCCCAGTCGTCGCGGTTGGTCTTCTGACAGAACTGGATCGATTCAAACAAAACCAAAAGCTCAGAAGTGGTCCACGTATACACACACGCCATCACAACGTCTTGTTTTCGAGTTTGCTTTTGATTTTTCCAGCAGAAAACCATTCAACTTTTATTATTTATCATTTTCCTCAATGAGTACAAACCCTAAAAAATAACCAAAAAAACTCAAAACCGGAAATCAAAGGAGTATCAATTTTCATCACACCTTAGAAAAGATCACCAAATCCACCAAAGTCTTCCTCAGCCTCTTCTTTCTTTTCTTCCTGAACTTCTTCCTTCTTCTCTTCTGTGGCTCCAGATGCGGCAACTGCGGCGACAGCGACTGGGGCAGAGGACATGTTCTCGAAGATTTTGTCAGCCAATGGGAATTTGACACCAGTGGCCTTTGAGAACCCGAGCAAAGCCTGGAAAGCGTTGAGCATGATGTGTGGGCAGGCGGCTTCTGTTGGGATGTTAGCTGCGAGAGAGACTGAAGTGACAGCCTGTACACCTTGTTGGAAGGTCTTGACGAGATCAGCGTCGGAGTAGTTCAAAGCGCTTGCACCGTAGACTACGCCGTTGTCGTAAATGGTATCAATGACGGCTCCGTATCTGAATGGGTTGATCTTCAATTTCTGCAACAAGACGGCTTGTGAAACGCCGACCTTTTCTCCTTCCTTAATCAAGAGGGTGTTTCCAATGATTTCAATTTGACCTTTTGTAATCTTGGACTGAATGTTCAAAGCCTGGATGAAAGAAGTTTGAGTTGGGTCCAATCCAGTATCACCAGCTGGGACAATGACATCATTTGGGGCAATAATACCAGCTTTGGCTGGGGATGGGCTTTTCAATTCGGCTAATTTGTCCTTCAATGCGTGGAGGTCTCCTTTGGTGAAAATGAATCCGACGTTGCCCTTGATGTGTTCCAAGAGGAGCTCGAGTTCTGGGTGAGCTTCCATCTCCATCTTAATTGCCTTTCTGATCAAAGTGTTCTTCCCCATCACAAACTCGCATGTGCTTCTCAACTCCTTTCGAATGATCTGGAATTGCGAAGATCCGACGTTGTCGACACGGACGATGACGATTTCTTTGTACTCGTCAAAATATTTCTTCATCTTGGCCAAGTAGTCGCTCTTCTTTTGCTTCTTCTGCTCTTTGCTGAGTCCTGCTTTGTGCGGAGCCATATCGATATCCCAATTATCGAGTTTGTAGGGTTATCTTCCCTCGTTACTAGTTTTCTAACTTAATTCTTACTATTATATTACCATTTTTTTCCCCCTTTGAATCTTATCTTTCCACTTTATTCAATCTAATTCTCTCTGATTTTTCGGGCTTTTAAAAACATTTTGAAACAACATTTAGTAAATTATTGGTTCATTTATACTATTTTTCTGGTTTGTCTAAAAACCCACTAATAACAAATCATAATAAATAAAATTAAAATAAAACCATTCCAAAATTGAAGAAAAAGACGAAGAAAAGTACACTAACCAGTGAGAGTTTGAAAAAACAATCTCAACTCAAAAGTGAGAAGGACGGAATGACGAATGTCTCATCAAATGAGTTAGATGGATATTTAGATGATGTCACTGTGTTAAATCGGTGTGTTGACACGTTTGAACGGTACACGTCGACGCTTCTTCCTCTCTTCGAACAGATTCACACTGAAATGAGTGAGTACACCCAACTCCTCCAACAGCTCTCATCTGCAAAAGGAACTGAAAATCCGAATCGCCTTCGCTCGAAGTTATTAGAGCCGTTGATCACCTTTTCGGAAGCTCAGCAACAGCTTTCGGAGTCGTTTTACGACCTTAAAGAGGAGGTGAATCGCATCAATCAGTCGACGAAAGACTTGCAACAGACATGTCTTCAGCCATTAACCAGTGCACTTCTAAGCTATACGCCGCAGGCGAAGTGGAATATTTGGTCGTGGTGGTCACAACCGCCCAAAGAATATTCCGACGCGACGAAGATTCAATTGTCGTTAACTTTGGGGTCCTGGGAATTCAAATTGAAAGTCGGCGGGTTGATCGAAGCGTTCTATCGCGTCTTTCAAGACGGGGCTATCACAGCCTCTGGCAACGAGAATTTCACTTTAACTATGACAAAGGCCCGAATCGAAAAAACAAAGTACTTCTGCAAATATAAAAAGTGTGTAGGGGGGTACATGGGTAAATCACTCGACGAGATTTTGAAATTGGAGGAACGAGAAGGGGCCGTTCCGTTCGGGATCGAAAACTTAATTGAAAATATTAAGAACAAAGGTTATACCACCGAAGGCATATTTAGACTCGCTCCTTCTGATAGAGATATCGACGAAGTGTCACATCGGTTGGGCGTAATGGATTTCGACGGAATGGATTTCGTCGTGATGTCTTCAGTCTTGAAGCGATTCTTTCGAAATCTCCCACAGAAAATATTCAATAAGCAATTGACGGACAGAGCAATGGCAATTAATAGTTTGGTATTATTCATTATACTATACTGCTTAGTAGAGTCTCGTGTATACTATTTAAAACCATTTTAAAACTATATATTATAGTATTACTTGTATTAAAATTTAAAAAGTATTAAAAAGTAGACTCACAAGCATTTAACACGGGGACGTTGAAAAGTTTCATTAAAATGTTACCAAAAAATCATATCCCGATTGTAAGGGAACTCTTTGGCCTCTTTTACAAGATCAATACGTATTCTGATACAAATAAAATGTCTTCATTGAATTTGGCTATAGTGTGGGTCCCATGCCTCTTCGAAGTCCCAATAGACCAGAATTTCCAAACCAACCTCGACCAACTCAAACCGTTCTTCGCAGCATTCATCGACAAGTTTTATGACGTCTTCCCGGAATGTTCCGATCGAAAGTCGTTACGCCTTTCTACATACAGACAATCCTTCCACGAACGAACACTGACGCGTTCTGAGTCGGAATGGAAAAGGAGTTTGGAGTCTGTTGACAACGTGATGAAGTGATTTGTTAATACAGTTATTAAAACATTCGGTTTTAAGTTTGAAAAAGAAGTTAACTGCAAAAAGACGGATGGATTACATTAAGAGCTGTCCGTAGTAGTTGTCCAACACCATTGGATCGACTTGGTAGTTTTCAGCAAAGACGGGGGGCATTTCGTAGTTCTGGAAGAGCGAGTCCATGTACGCTCTTTGTTCGTTGAATCCCATCATAGGTCCATATTGATAGGTTGGGTTATAATTCTGTTGAGGGGTTTCAAACTGTGGTTCAAAGAGTTGGTTTCTCATTTTTTGTTTGACTTCTTCGGCCTTTTTTTGTTTGATATTATCTTGGATCTCAAGTTGTCTGACGGTTGGAGCTCCTTCAAATGGATCCGGCAATTGTTTCCGTTGAATGAGTTGATGTTTCATGGGTTTCAAACCTTCACGTTTTGCTCTCTTCTCGACTTTGTCAACAGTCTTCTCAATGGCTCTTTTCGTTTCTCTCACTGGGTTTTTGATTTTTGGCGCCTTTTTCACTCTCACGGCGTTTGCGCTGTTCATTCTTTCTCTGTTGAGTTCTCTCTGCATTTTAATTTCTTGTCTCTTGACCTCTAAAGTCTGTTTTTGTATTTTCTTTTCCGCTTTTTTCGCCGCCCTTTTGGCCTTTCGTTCCGCTTTACTCTTCTTTTTCTTCTCAATCTTCGATTTCTCCGCTTTCTTCTCCTTTTGTTCCGCCTTCTCGGATTTTGACAACTCCTTCATCTCTTTTTTACTCAAATTCTTTTTCAGTTCAGATTTGACAACGTGCGAAACGGCTTTCTTCATTTCCTTCGGGTCAATCGCAATCTTGGGGTTGTCACTTTTGACGGTATTTAAGACGATCTCTGCAGACTTATTTTCCAGTTGGTCCTTCCTCATACCAACTCCCACACTCTTCACCTCGTTCATGATCGCACGGAACGCCTTCTTATAAACACTCTTCTCCGCCTTCTTCTTCTCCATCTTGATCTTCTGTTTGTCCTCTCCAAACTTCTTCTTCGCTTCAACGGCCGCCTTCTTTCCTGCCGCCTTTGCAGCAATTTTGCCGTATTTCCGTGCAGACTTCTTCGCCACTTTACGGATCTCTTTGTTCTGTTGTCGCAAAATCTTTGTGGTCTTCACCTTAGTCGATTCACCCACAAATCTCTCGAGACGGTGCTTACGGATGAACTCATTACGCTCAACACCAACCAAGCCGTCGGCAATCAGTCGCAACTTATCCAAAAACTTGCGTGATGCCGCACGTAGAACTTTTAATTCACTCAGAATGGACTCTATGCCACGCTCAAGTTGTGCGCGTGTTGTTGGATTTGCAGCAAGACGTAAGTCACGATAATGCATTTGAAGCTGGTCGTTCAAGAGTCGTTCACGGTCTTCGTTCACTTGAATACGCTTTGACAACTCGACTGAATCACGCTCCGTCGTCACCAAATTTGCGGCTAAAATCGGACTGTGTCCTTGTTCGGTGACTAAGGCTTTAGACAGGGAAATCACCACTAGTAATAGTAACACGTTCATGGTTTTTATATAATAAAAATTCAGTTCTTTAATGAGTTTTCTTTTTTTTTTATAAATTTCATAACAAGTTTTGATTTTTGATTTTTAAAGGATTATTTCTACTATAATTAATAGGTACATTTATTGATTTTTTAATTTACACTTTTTTACTGTTTGATTAATAAGTTTTAATTATATTTATTATTTATTTGCTATTTGGTATTATAGTTCAATAAAAAAAATATATTGGAAATAAATATTTTTCAAAATTCTTTTCATGTATTTTTTTGTGTACAAACACTTACAATACATTCCGATAAAATATCTAACAATGGTTAGAAATTTTAGTTTAAAAAAGTTCATTTTTAATTTTTTTTCGAAATAAAAAACTTAAAAAAATAAAAAAATGCACCGACATGGAAAAGCAAAAAAAAAGGCTTTTCCATTGAAGTCGAAATCTGTAACCCCAGAACACACGCCACCCATTAAAGAGAGTTCTCCAATTATTCGGACGGTGGTCTTTTCTGGTGGGGAGATTGTGAGTGACACACAACAAGATTCAATCTCAGTCACTCCAAAATCGAGAGAGGTGGAATCAGAAAATGTGACAAATGAAAGGATTGCAATTGCCAGAACAACACACGATATATGCAAACTATTTTCAGAGATGGAGAAAACGATTAAAGAAGATGAAAGGAGATTGATTAACGCCGTAATGAGAAACCACGAAAACCTTACTCGGGAACTTCAATACTCGTTTGATAGTGGGTCTGTTGTGATGGAATTACCATACATCCCTCCTATAAAAGGTACTGATATATTTCTTGGCACAATCGATAAGAATTTAAAAGACACTAACACTGTTTTAACTGAGATTAACGACCTTTTTGTGCATTGTGCTCAACGAGTTGAGAAGATTGAAAAATCCAAAAAAGATGTGTTTGAGATATTAAAAAAATATGACGACGACACTCTCACAATCATCAATATAATAAAGCCAAAATGATTCAACGATTTGCTCATGTTCTCAATCATACATATCCTCAATCTTCGTTGTGTGTACAATTGTGATCTCTTTTATGAGTAAATTTAAGTAACATAAACCATTTCTTATTGAATTGTTATTCATTTAGTGTTTTATTCATTTTTATTCTCTCCATACTTAATATAGTAAAGCAATAATAAAAAAACCATTTAAAATAATTAACTTTTTAGTTATTGAAAACAAAAAAAACTAATTTTTTTTGACATACAATAATTATATATTTATTATATTTATAATATATATTATGATACAATTGATTTTTTTGTTTTTTTTATAATTATGATTTATCAAAACCCCCGATTTTTTCCTCAATAATTTCATTCTCTCATTAAACAAACAAATTAATTTTAGTTCTAGTGTGATTGTGAATGAGGCATTTTTGGTGGAAAGAAACTATATAAAAAGGAATAATGTGTGAGTTCAGTGTGCACTTTTTACATGGATTTTGTGACAAAGACAACGACAAGTTGGTGAGCAAAGAGGAGTTATTTCCTTTTCTCTTCAAATATTTAAAGATCAAAGAAGGCGGACCTGGGAGTGGGTTTCAGTCGTACTTATTTGATCTTTGTGATTTGAATCAGAACGGGAAACTGGACATCACCGAGTTTATCCATTTAATGACGTGTTTAGAAGTCTTTGAGACGTGTCGCGAGTACAGTGATAAATTAACGCTGATGATGGTCTTATTTAAAGCGATGGATTCTGATGGGAATGGTCGATTAGATTCAGTGGAGATTAAGAATGCGATTCTCAAATTAGAGAAAACGGAAGACCCGATGC